TGTTGTCTATTTTGTCCTGAGTTCATTATCCATTTATTCATTTGTGTCTCTCTTTCACTTTGGTGTTTATACAGTGCTTCTATGGTTTCCTTTATTTCTTCTTTTGCTTTTTCAAATTCTCTATTTTTATTGTCTTTGGAATTTCTTGAGTGTCTCCTGTACATTTTGGTGACCCTATCCAGTATTCATCTCTATAAAATTTCTCATTGAGTACTTGTTGTATGTCTTCTTTTAAATTATTCTTGTGGGCTTCATTGGGGTCCTTTGGCCATAGTTTATCTTCATTTTGTTGGAGTCTGCTCTGAGTTTCTGTTCTCTTCATTCCCCTCTGGTCCTGTACTAATTTTTTTGCTGTGGGGAAACTGGTTTCCTTGTTTTTTCTGTCTTCCTGTCATTGTCCTTGGTGTTGTTACTGTCCCTGTACTGTGGTAATTAAAGTATTTTTAGCTTGTAATAATAACAATGTAATTTGAGAATGGAAGAGTGAGCTGAGATTGGAAAGCAAGAAGTTAAAGAAAAGGGGAAACAAATATACAGACAAGAGGAGAAAGCAGAACAAGGTATCAGACAAGAGAGTTTCAAAGGTATAAAAGGGAGTGTTATGTCTATCGACAGTAAGCTGAACAGACAATAGAGAACAGAGAGAGGATTGAAAATCAAAAGATAAAAAAAATAAAAATAAGTATATGAAAGTAATATCTATTTATAAAAATGAATTAAAATAAAATGGAAAAATAGAAATTTAAAAAAAACAAAAAAAAACCAAAAAACTTCCAAGTTTATATGCAAGCAATTTCGTCTTTAATAATTTGGATGTCCGTCTCAGTCTCCAGTCCTGGAGTGGTGCCTCAGATGTTGTTCTGTAGTTGTCTCATCAAAGGGGATGGCATAAAGTAGAACAAACTACACTACACACACACAGAAGAAAAAAAAAAAAAAAAAGCCCCACCAAGTGTCCCCAGTTTTCAAATGCCAATACGTTCAGTAAGTTTTTTCGTCTTGCAGGTAATTCCGGTTGTTTCTCAATCAAAGTAGGGAGAAAAAAGAAAAAAAAGCGTCTGGAGGCAGTTCTGAGGGTGGTAATCTTGCAACTGTGGCTTGCCTCCTGCCTGTCTCAGCCTGTAGCTGGAGGCGTTAATTTTAGCAATCTCTAAGGGGAGCTAGCGCTCACCTGGTCCCACAGCTTGTTTGTCCATTCTCCTGTGCGGGGCCTCTGCTACAGGCTTTCCCCCTTCCAGCACATGGAAAGGTGACACTGCCCTGCTTGTCAGGCCTGCATGTTTAATTTACAGTTCACGTGGAAGTTGGGTCTTCCTCCTCTCACTGAGAGTGGTATCTGCAACTGTGGCTTGCCTGCCTGCTGCTCTCAGCCTGTAGCTGGCGGCGTTATTTATGCAGATCTCTGGGGTGAGCTAGCACTCACCTGGTCCCACAGGCTTTGTTTGCTCAGAGTTCTCCTGTGCGGGCCTCTGCTACAGGCTTTCCCCTTTCCAAGCACTGGGAAAGGTGACACTGCCCCGCGTTGTCAGGCCTGCGTGTTTATTTACAGTTCACGTGGGGAGTGGGTCTTCCTCCTCTCACAAGCGTCCCGCTCACCTGGTTGCTGGCGCGCCCCTCCCGCCAGAGCTCTCCGGCCGCCCGCTCGTTTATTTCAGTCCCGGGAAGGGTTCCCTTCCCCAATCTTCAGCGCTCAGGGCGCCCCACCCTCTTTCCAGCGTGTCTTAACTGTTCTTATTGCTTAGTACTCAGTTTCTCTTTTTTTTCCCGGGTGGAGGTCAGTCTGTCCAGGGGCTATGCTGCTCTGGCCCAGGCTTGTCCGTGGGGCTTACCGCGGTACCCGAAGCTCACCTGGTCCGCGTCTTCCCAAGCGTATGGGCGCCGGCCACTGGCGGCCCCGGGGCGCCTCCTCGTTCTCCGTTTAACGTGAGTGGAGATTCTCTGCGCCGGCTGGAGATGTGGAGGAGTCAAAGTTATGCCTTTTCTCGGTGATTATGCCTGCAAAGTGGTGTCTCCAGCGTCTCTCCAAGATTTCACTATAGGAGGCTCGCTTTCTGCTTTCCTACCTCTACCGCCATCTTGGAATCTTCCAAATGTGTGGGGGTTTTTTGTTCTTTTTTTTTTCACACTGGTCAGCCTGGACCATGATCCTCCTTTTAATTCCTCCCACATAGCTGGGATCACAGGCACACACCACCACACCCAGCTTATTTGTTGAGATGGGAGTCTCAATAACTTTTTACCCAGGGTGGCATTGAACCACAGTCTTCCCATTCTCTGCCTCCCGAGTATCGGGTCTGCAAGGCACAAACCACCGTGCCAGACTTTTAAAATTTTGGAGCTGGTTTTCCCCACTAAATGTTGCAAACATATTTTAGATCAATCAAATATGCCCATAAACCTGTCATTCTGTCAATCATCAAGTTCTCATCACTCCACCATCCCCAAGATGACCCTTTAACCTCACCCTAATACTTACCATCCTTTACCTCTGTGACCCAGTCATCACCTACCACACGATATCCCTAGACATGAATTGCAAAGGACACTCAATGATTTATGCCTCTCAATGACCTATCCCTCCCAATCACTTTTTCCATAGTCCACTCACTAACTCCACAGACTAACCACCTCCTGATATCTAGGTGCCTTGGTCCCCTGTCACTGACCTTGAGGTCACACAATTATTATCCTTAACAATCAATTCCTCAGTTCGCCTGATCAACCATTTTGCAAAGGCCCTTTCATCAGTTTACTCCCACAAACGTCCTTATAGCTCAAGTACTTGCATTCCGATCCCTAAGACTCACCCTAGGTTCCATCATAACTCTCACACAATCCTATACCTACAATTCCTGTCACTGATCTTTCAGAATTATTAACCCACAACTTCTGAATGTCTCCTATTGTCC